CAACCACGCGCGTGCTCCCGCTGTACTTAACAGTTCAATAGATAGCATAGGCGATGTGAAATGCATGTGAGCGTATGTGTGTGTGTGCGTGTGTGTGTGTGTGTGTGTGTGTGTGTGTGTGTGTGTGTGTGTGTCTGCATTTCAGGTTTATAAAAGTTGTTTAAAAATCCATCTATGTCCCCTCTTTCATTGTAAATATCCTATGTAATAATGTGGACTCTTATTATGAAGCAGTCAATGTATGTATAAGTGTGTTTTATGGCTAAATTTGACTGTTTGGATCAAATTAAAACCTACAAAGTTCAGCAGGCCAAATGATGTTTTTCATAAACAACTCTGGATGTACTTTGATTTATTTGGCCACGGGACCAGCTTCATATTTCCAATGGTGTACCCCTGGGTGTTATTCTAAATCCACTGCTGTTCCCTGTCGTTGTCAATGTGGACTTTGGGAATTTCTTTTTATGCTTAGGACATAGTTACAGCATGTAAAATCAGCACATCTGTTCAGTGGTATGTCAAATGGAGCCCAGTTCCCTTCTTACAAGGCACACACTTAGCATCTTGAACTCTGAAAGTCAGTTTCTCCATCCTGGCAAGATAAGGTCAGAGCTCTTCATATTTTTACCTAATCCGCTCTTGATGAATGCACCTGAGCAGTGGTCTGCCCACTGTTGTGCATGTGAGTATTAGGTACACTGCACGCTACTTGCATGTTACTGCCTGGCAAACAGTGCGCTTTAATGCGGATTATTGTTGGTGTCCGTAAATTATTTTGCAGGACCTTTTTAATTGCTGCTAACGGCTAACTATTAACTACACCAATATTTCAAATACTCGTTTAAAAAAAAAGTGAAATATTAGTGATGAGCCTGCAATGTGTTTTCGATGTGCTTTTTAAATCTTATGACCTGATAACTGCATCAACAAGTCTCTGACTTATTGATACCTTGGATCGCCCCCCCCCTGCCCCCCCCACCTCCCTATTTCAAGTGCATCTGAGTGCAGCACACAAGGAGGATAACATTGTCCAATTCATGTTTATTCTTCAAGTCTAATTGTTTGGCTCTCTTTTAATTACTAAGCGGGAAACACAATCTAGGCTCGTGTGTACTTTGTATAATGACAAAGCCGTTGAGCCATGACCAAACCACATTCGTTTTATTGGACGCACTTGCTTCTATTGCTACCGGCCATGCCTGCAGTAAAAGACCCCTAATTTACTCCACACAAACTCTTTAGCGTAGGCACACTGAGCTAGACTATGTGACTTGCTTTGACATTTTTTAGTGGAAGTACGGATGGGAAAACTCATCGAGAGGAAAGCGAGCCAGGTTTTTATTATGTTCTTCACGAGCCCCGAGACACTTTTTCTTTTCAAGGAACAGCAACCATGTAGTGTCCTTAGCAGCGAGTCACACATCACTTGCCAACTTGTATCAAGAAAACTCTCACAAAGATTGACTTGACAATATTAACATTCCATTTATTGACTATTACTGGTAAACTCATCATTTGAAATGACAACAAAATGGGAGTTCTTTTTAAGTGTGAGATGTTTTTCATGAAGCACAGTTTCGTGTAAAGCTTGCATAAAAATGTGACGATAGAATATTCATGAGCAACAATGGGAATTTCCCAGCTGCACCGATGAAGGATGAAATACATTATTGATGCAAACGGTCACAAGTATAACATGTTTTATTGCAAGATATTGTTGACAAGAGTCGTTATATTACATGATCCCTTTTATCACCTGTCAAAAATGTACATCCCCTCATTGTAATGCTTGAATGAGAGAGTTTTATAGTTCCACAGTGTGAGGATGCGGGAATGAGGAATAATTGAAGTCCATTCTCAATTTGATTTTCGATAGGAAAATGGTGCTATTCAAGTAAATCTAGGATCAATTTTAATTTCAAAGCCATTTTAAATTAATATATTATCTCAAGAAATAAAACACTTGCAATGGAAATTAGCAATGCTCATCTACAGATGCATCTTAGTTCAGAGAAATGTGGGCCATTCTATCGAATTGGTGCCATTTGTGTCCCCAGGACATAAAACGTGCAGCATTGAATTAACTGTAAATCGGTGAGAGGTTCGTTTACCTTGAACGCTGGAAAAATATCATTTTTCCCTGGCCTGGCCTCGCTTCCGAAGATGAAACTTTGCCATTTTAATCCTTGAAATGTTATACCGTTGCTACTTTTATCACGTTTTCACGGCCCTAATTTATTGCACTGGGCAGTGGCTATCTGTGGTGTGGCTATCTGTGTTGCTTATCAGTAGCATGATTGCATGAAGCAACCTTTCACAGCCGCATATGTGTACAGTCATTTTTTGAGCAGATTTGCCCTCTTTTTTGGGCATGCCCTCAGAAGACTTGTGGTTGACATTACAACTGGCTATGTACGTGTTTGTGGCTTCATCCATGGAGGCTGAGAAATGTACCAATCCTATTTTGACAAAGAAAGCAGTACAGAGATATGCTTTCAAAGGTGGGTCGAAAAAGTCAAGAGTATAATTAACATTAAAAAAAAAAAAAAACACCCAAAGTTCAGACATCTGAAAAAATCGAATTGAGTGGAGTAACAAAGGTAAAGAACTCTCTCCCATTATTGGAGGAGAACTGCTTTCAGTAGAGTAACATTGATGTGCCTTTAAATTCATACTTATTCGGATTCTGAGATTCTGTATAGTGAAATAATCATGCAAATCGGCTTTATCGAACGAGTCATCACAATAGGATGATTGTGTCAATTATGGAATGAAAATAAACAGTGAAGAAAAGTTATGTGCCGTGACGCAAACAAAAAGGCCATGACCCAGGAAGCAGAAATCACAAGGCACCAAAAATGTATTTTGTTCAAAGTAGCAACACAAAATACTATACTCCAAAACAAAACTACCATGACCTGAAGAAAAAACAGTAGCAAATGAAAATCACCTTTTTCAGGGAAATACTCTTGCTAAACTAGACCACCGGGTTACTCTTGAGGTTTGCACGCAGGGAAGGATGAAAAGGCAGCAACATGACAAGTCACAGCATGGACATCAAGGATCTTGCATGCACAGAACAAGGGGAGAATCTGACTAAATAGGCTGCCAGGCTGATGTGCATCAGATGAAGGGATGCTCTGAGTACGGGCCCGCCTCCTGCCACGGTCCAGCCAAGCAGAGGAGGAAGGGGCAGAGCAACATGGCAAAGGCGAAACAGAACCATGACAAAAGTTGCACATAGTCTCAGAATTATTCATTTCTGCCTAGCACTGTACGTGACATGAAAGCAAAATGACACGATGGACTGGTGGAATGGCATCACAACTTGAAAGTTGAAGGATTTAAATTGGCCCCATTGAAATGTGAAGTCATGGATTTTGTATTGTGTCTGACATGCTCATGAAGTAAATGATGAGGCACGCGCCTTGATGTCCATGCAATTCCCTCACACAACAGTCCTGATGTGAAACATGCTAGAGCCAGATATGAGCGATCTTGAATGGCTGTAATTGGACCAAGTCCGCTCACCGCGCTCTCTGTTTTGAATTCATGAAGTAGTTTCTATTTCAAATGCATTCAAACTTTGCAGGCGCTGCGGGGCTTGTATGCAGCCACTTCATCATTGTTTATCTAGCTTTTTTTTTTTTTGTACTGTTTTTCAGCAACCTTTGGTATTTTAGTAAAGCGGTGGGGTACAGCTGAGCATGCTGAATCAGAGAGTCACATAGTTCTTTTTTTAAATGAGTAGAAAGCAAATTGAGCCCTGCTGATCGTGTTCTCAGATGACAGAAACTGAAACTGGGGTGTGAATTCATCACCTAATTTTGAACTTAAATGTGTAGTTCTGGGAGCATATACACTAACCTCAAATTCTTATTACACTTTTAACAGCAAAACGTGTTTGCCATGTCGGTGTCACTGTGAGTGCGACTGATCGTCTTGTGACTGAAGAGCCAAAGTTTCGGGGTGTATGAGTCTGTGATCATCTCTTTCATCTTGGCTGTATCCAGGTCCAAGTTGTTCATTTCACACCTGAATCACCCGAGATGTTGGAGCTCCTCTTTGCAGCCCTCGTCATGGTTGTTCGCGATCAGGCCCACAATGGTGGCGTTATCGGCGAATTTGACAACGGTGTTGCTGGGTTGAATGGGAAAGCAGTCGTTTGTGAGGAAGGAGTAGAGGAAGGGGCTTGAGGTATCCCCTGCATTCACAATGTTATTGTCTTCCATCTTGACATTCTGGGCTCAGTTGCTGAGGAAGCCCAGTATCCAGGTGCACAGTTCAGACAGTAATGGCCAGGTTGCTCAGCTTTAAAACCAGTTGATGGGTTGTATAAAATGCAGATCTGAAATCCGCATGAGCATCCTCATGATCCAAGTGTTTGTGGACTGTGTGGAGTGCTGTGTTAATTGCCGTCTTTGTTGACCTGTTGGTTCTGCAATATATGCAAAGTGATGGGGATCGAGGTCATTAGGAAGTGAGACATTTGGTGATTACAAACATGGCAAATCCCGGTCCAGAAAGTAAACATTTTGCCACAGTTGGACTTTAACCATTTCTACTCTGGGAGCTGCTTTACCTGCTGGCTGAGTAGAAACATTTGCGGCTAAAGCCAAACTGTCGCAGGATTTTGACTTTCTGGGCCCAGATTTGCCACCTTTGTGTGATTATGGGTGCTATGGCAAATTGCCATTGGCGCAGCTCGCCTGTGCTCATCCTGGGTCTGGAGAATTGTGGCTGATTTAAGGCCAGTGGTGAGTACAGATTGCAACAGTGAGAGGTAAAAGAGCCTGGGGAAATTTCTGCTAGCTGGTTTGTGCATGCCTTAAGCACAATAGTATCTGCCATTATTCTCCAAGTGCTTGTCCTGGCTCTTGTCTACTGACGGATTAACATTTTTTCTCTCGACATCCATTACGGCTGGGAAACACTGGACCGGTCTGTCGCTCCGAGGGTAGGTTCAAAACTACTAAAGAGGAGAAACCAATAGACTAAAACATTGTGAAATAACTGAACTTTATTTCTAGACCACTCTACATGCCACCACAGCGGCATACAAGGTGCTGTACATACAGTAAAAATCAGAAATATAAAAACAAAGACCGGTAAAACCATAAATGAATAACATCAAAACAGTAAACAGAATAAAGTATTGAAACTCCTGATAGTCAAAAGCTAAAGGATAAAAGTGTGTCTTGTTATGAGTTTTAAAGATGGATAGGGAGGGTGTTTGCATAACGTTTAGCAGGAGGGACCAGCAAGGGAAAACAGCTCCATCTCCGTAGTCCTCCTGACATCGACACCTGCTGAACTGAGGCACCAGGCATTTACATAGAGGCAGAGGAGCTCAGAGAGCTGAAGTGGGATGAGACCATTTCAAGATTTAAAGACCAATACAAGAATATTAAAATGACCTCTAAAATGTACAGGGACCTGGTGAAATGAGGCCAGAATTGGAGTAATGTTCTCCCACTTATGAGCACCAGGTAAGAGGCAAGCAGCAGCATTCTGGACCAACTGGAGAAGCTTGAGGGAGGACTGGCTGATTCCAAAACAAAGGGTGTTACAGTCATCTAGCTGAGATGTAACAAAGGCATAGATTCTAAATGCTGTTGTGAAAGGAGAATAAGTAAGTAAGGGGGCATAAGTAGCCATTGTAGCAGTCGTTGATAATCACAAGTGCACCAAACCTGATGAATCAACGTCAACCAAGGGAGTGACATTGAGGAGAGCGGTTTCAAATGATTCAGCATTAATTAAATGAAGTATTTATTTGAAAAGCTGATCAAAATGTGTAATCTAATAAATTGAGTCGAAAGTTTGCCATCAGTGTATTGGAAGTACTGTGAATTATCATCATTAACAAATTAAAGGCAAGCATACAGTGGCTGGGCTCCAGAGGTACAACAAAGGCAATGCTAATATTATTCATCAAGAAGCTGAAGTGGTAATCACACCAAACGTTTTGTTTGTGGCTCCACTTTTCTCCCAGGCAAAAAACCTTGAAAGTTCGCGGCCACTACAAAAAGCGGTACCCCCTCTGCAGGAGTACAGTGTTTGGTGAGAGAAACAAAAGCGCGATGTAAATAGCCTCACCAGTGAAGAAGCTCCTCGTCGCTTTCCTCTACATGATTACCATTTCAAACGGTCCTTGTTTTGCATCGCAGGAATGGCTGCATTCTTGTCTGGTGGTCTGTCCAATCCGCCGTCGAAAACACACCCTTTGTGTGTGTGTGTGTGTGTGTGTGTGTGTGTGTGTGTGTGTGTGCGAGCACGCGTGCGTGCGTGCGTGTGCGTGCCAAGCGTGCAACGTTTTGGAGAGTACATCTTCTCATTCAAAAGGGATCTGACCTCTTGACCGGGATGCACAGTGAGTCCATTCCGTTTTTCACTCTTATAAACACTTATAAATAGATTTCCTGGAATTTTTGCTTTTTTGATGAGCAGAGAGATTTGCAGGCCACTGGCTGCACCTCCTGAACATACAAAGAGTTTCATTTGTTCAGCAGGGACCACAGGCCGATCTCACACCCTTGACTGAATGCATGTATGCTCAGCATATGCCCTACTGAGGGAATTCACAAAACATTCACAAGAGCCATTTCTCTATTTCGATTGTACACACAATAGGACTAAATGCAACTGAACACAAAAAAAGGTTCAAATCACAAGTTGCTGCTGTTTAACCCATGAAGTGTATTCTTTGTGGCACCATCAGTCCTCAGGGTCCAGAATTACTTGAGTTGAGCGGCTTTGCTCTGATTGGACGAAGCAGGTTCCTTGCTACCGCGCCACCTAAAAACCAAAATATAACAATAACCTTGATAGAATTCAAGTTGAACATCGATATTACGAGACCTTAATCCATTCATTGTAATGGATGTTTATATTGGTCAAATGAAATCCAGCTGTAATTGAAATTATGGGCCCTATTTTCGTTGGGGAATCAAATGTTCAACCCACAAAGGACAAACAGCCATTTCTAACTGCGCCCGTCGACAAAAATACCAAAAGAAAGAAAACTCCACCTATGTGCACAGTTAGCCTGCACTTTGTGCTCGACTTGTACTGGCCACAAATCTAGAGCCCTAAAACTGGAGTGTAAGGAGTTGAGGATGGCATCTATACTTAGGCGTAGCATTAGCAAACAAAGCACTTGGAAAATGTGATCATTGCCAATAATCAATTCCAGAAAAGAGCAGCAAGACAATGGACATTCATCAGTCCGCGGGGATCAGTTGCGAGCTGGGTGACATTCTTGTTCAGAAGAAATGGAAGAACAGCCCCCTTCGTGTTCGAAGCAGTCACCACCTTTTCCAGTGTGGGGTCTGACCACAGGATTATAAGCAGATAAGATCAAGCTGATCCTCCATAAAAGAAAGGGAAAGGAGGAACAAGACTCCCGCACTGACTGCTTTGGAAAGTTTATCAAGGAAATCAAGAGAGCTGCTGAGAAACGAATCCCGGTAATAAAGACATCATGCAGGGTAACTGTTGCAGCTCCCAAAATGAAACCACGCATAGCAGTAGAGTCAAGCACAAGAAAACTAATAAGAAACTAGAACATGTATTCAATGTTGCGATGGTGGAAGACCTCACGAAAAAGATCTTATCAGGAGGTAGAGGTAGCACATGGTCACCGGAGACATGAAGAGAGCCATTGAAGACATTCACAGCAAGAAGGGCATCAGAAAAAGCTCAACTGAAACTGTGTGTTCACCACTTTTTCCAGAATTTTTCAAATAAAAGCACACCTTGATGAAGACCAGGTTTCTCGCGCAAGGGTTGCACCACGGCATGTCTAAATTGTCGGGGGAACTACACCAGCAGACAGACTGCATTTGATAATAGCCAAAACCGATTTACCAATACTCGGGAGGAAAAGAGTCATAAGGGGAACCGGATGGTCTCGTTTCCTGTCGAAAGGCTTGTCTGAAAAAGCGATCCTCAGACCTGTCTGAAATTGATCTCAGTGATTTCAATAAAAAGGAGAAACAACATTCTAAAACGCCATCCTCTAAAATATGACACTCCACTGTTTATATTTACTCTATTGTAAATCCTGTGCATAATCATTTGGAGCACATTGTCAACGATTAACGCTAGTATCATATATAGGGTTAGGGTTAAGGTGAGGGTGACGGTCGATCAATGGATAGATGGATAGAAAATCTTTATTATTCTTCGAAGTTCTGTTCCCCTAATTGTAACAGCAACTAAGGGGTGAACCAATTCATAGAAGCAATTGGATTTGCTTTTTTTGTCCCATCCTACTTTTGGATGGTGTATAGAGTGGCAAGACAAGTGAGTCTCTTTTGATCAAGGCTAGAACGTCGCATGCGCTTGCTTGCCCCTGTGTCACAGACAATCTACAGAAGCTCAACAAAAAGGCAATTTATGAGAAAGCGCATTTCTAAATGGGGCGCCGTTTCCATTGCTCGTCACATTTAATTACACAGCTTTTAATGCACAGTATTAGTTTCCAGCTTTTCCCCTCGCATCTCTTCTCTTGGCCCCATCATTCACCAGATTATAGAAATAGGTTTTGCGTGTCCGATAGAGCGAGCCGATGCGGCCACTGGGAGTTGTGGCCACGCTTTGCTCTCTGATCCTTCCCTTTCAAAAGGAGAGCTTATGGTGTAATAAGTATTGCAGACAACTTTAGCGTGCAAGTAATGCAATGAAGGAAAGGGGATTTCTTATTGCGCTGTGCTCCAGCATGTGGAAAGCAAACGGATTTGGTGCGAGGGAGGATAGTGCCTTTTCCTCACCTTGGTGGTCTTCACTTTGTTCCCAGAGATGCATGACCAGCCAGTCAGGTCAGGAAGTACTCGGCACTCCTCCCCTTCCACGCATGGCTTCATCTGACACCACCACTTCTGACGCACGATGGAGGCTGCAGGAAATATGACAAAACAGAAAGACTGTTTTTTTCTTTCATAAATGAGAGCAGTGACTATGAAAGCAATGTAGGCGAGTTAGTGCAGCAATGGCAAAAAAAAATAATAATAATAAAAAACACGTTCTCATCATGTGATCGTGTGTTTGCTGCACAGTAACCAAATACATTATCTTCATCAGGCTACTTTAGGCTAATGTCTGTCTGACATGTCGATATATGACTTCTCCGTTCGGCTCTTTCTGGCCTATCTCTTCTGTGGCAGTGGAGTTGCTATGGGAACAATACTGTGGGCAAAGGTAGCTTATGCAAACAAAATAAATAAATAAAACCTTCAGGGCACGAATGATTCTGCCCTATGAACAAAAACGTGTGACCGGACTATTCTGTTGATGTAGTTGCAGTAGTTTTTGTGGCGTTGGGGGCGGTAGAAGAAGCAGGCAGTCGAATAGTGATGATTGCGAGACAATTCTTCTTTGCTTTGTTGCATCAGACAGCTTGCCATTGTCCGAGCTGGCCCTGGTCAGCTAAGAGTTCTTGCTCAATTTTTTTTTTCTACACAGACAAACATTTGCAATTTGTGAGTACACTGGTGTTTAATTTGTCCCCAAACCATCTTTCCCCATTGAAATGAATAGAAATGCCATTAGTCCTTTCCACCCTCACCCCAAAATTGTCTGTCTATGTGTTTTGATGCACCATTAGTGTTAAAATATGTATTGCTTAAACGCTTAACACCATGACACAGACGCTATGCATTAGCCCATCTGTGGTGTTTCCCATGTTGTGTGAGCATTAAGCTAGCGGAATTTTAGGCAAAGTCATGTGGTTGTTTTTAACACAAAACTTGTCATTCTTTTCGGTTTTAGATTTTGTTTGACAGTTTATAAACTTCAGCTGCGAGTGGCATGATACACATTGGTGCCTCTTTTTTGAATTTTTTTTTTTTTTTGCGAGCTGACAAATTATTGTGCAAGAAGACTTCATAGTTGATTCATCAGTGGAATGAAAAATAGTTTCACAGCACAAGTCGGGAGTGCAGTTAATTATCCTGCTGCTGTCGCATAATTACAACGCATCAAATCTCGTCAGCTGGTAGACTTTCCATTATAAATATTTAACAAACAGTAGATTATGATGACTTGATATGGTTTTAAGTGGAGCGTGTTTGACAGAAGTCATGCAAAAAGCAATTGACCCTTTCATGCACCCTGTAACCTGATAACATGATAAGCTGCCCACTGTTGTAACCGCTGTCCCTGAAAGGGTTAAGGAAAGCGCCCGCTGCTGCTCTCCACATACGATGTATTGCCTTTCGAGTGCCCATCGGTGCAGTGCTTTTCCAGATGCATTGTGGGAATCATTGTGGGTACTACAGTAGCCGATAACTTATACAGCATAACACTTTCAAATGGCCAATTCTGTATGGCGGGAACTACAGTATATAGTGCATCGGGAGTGATTGCCAACACAAGCACTAACTTGTGGCTCACTTGGCGAATTGCTGAACACAAGCAACACCGAGCTCAAAGGAGAAAGGCCCACTACTGGAATCATGGACTGACAGAGTGTGTAGTGCACAGGGAAGACGGCCCATAATCCTATCAAAAGTCTGTTGAAAATGCCGCTGTGTAAACATCGTTCAGACCAAAAGGGTTCTTGGCATTTGTAGAAGTAAGCACCAATGTGGACTTAATGTATATTACAATCTTGTCATGTTGGTACAAAGCCAATTTCTTCTTTGTCAATTTGTTGTTTTGACAAACTTTTTGGGGGGTTTTAATTATCTGTGATTGGCTGGCAACCAATTCAGGGTGTACCCCGCCTGCTGCCCAAAGACAGCTGGAATAACCTCCAGCATGCCCGTGACCCTTGTGAGGATAAGCGGATTGGAAAATAGATGGATGCATGGTTTGAATTATTATTCTTTGTATAGTTACTTGTTGCTTCGGAGACAATGAGCAAGTGAGAGATTCAATATTCTCTGTATGCCCTGAATCTACAGAACATGAATCGTTTAAAGGGAAAAAAACAACAACATTAAGCTTGAATGATTCAAAGGGCAGCACAATGACCTTCAACGCAAGAGGGCAGTGCCCTTGTTGTCCCCGCGACATGTCCTTGGAAACAGGAACACTTGACCGTCTGAGAGCGTTCTTCAATCTTGTTCTTGTTGCAGCAACGATGTGCCGCAACCACTTCGCAAGTCCCTGTCCTCTCCTTCGACGACCCTTCCAAGAGTAGAATTTGGAGAGTGCAGAGTTGAAGCACATAAATATTGCGTGTGAGTCAAAGGCGAAGCGGCATACTAGTTTGCTGTGAACGTGCATCACGGGAGCTGCGGGAAAAAGATCTAATTTCACTTCATTTGACCTCCAATTTTTATTGACGAATTCTACAAATATGTCTTTGTTCATCTGTCAGTGCCAGTGACATACAGTGACAGGCAGAACAATCAAATGCTCTCCTATTGGATGGCAGAATGTACAACAAAGGTGTGTGTTAATTCGCCTGTTGCCATTCATTCAACGTCCTTCACACTGACTGCGTGAATCTGTGAGCAAATTGAGATGATCATTATTCAGTTGTTCTTAGGGTTTGTTCCACTTTTGTTTGGTGGCGTGCCATTAGATGCTTCTCGTGTAAATTAGTTTGTGTCTGGCTTAATAAATAAAGGTCGGGGCACTGATTTATGCGGCTGATGCAAAGAAGTAAACAACACTTTTTCAAAGCTACAGCGCCATCACGTGGATGAATGGAATCAGCGGCCATTCACAGTGCAGGCAACTATAAAGATGCATTGACGAGATCGCATTTGTCTTATTTTAATGTGCAAAGTGCATTTGCAAAGTGCATATGAATAGAAACTATATGCACTAATGAACGCATCATCTAACAGGAGAATCATAAAACTGACACGGATTTTGATTATGAATGCGCAGATGACTGACGCGTGGACAAATGCCGAACTGACTTGAAATTGTGCAGTCGAGCAGAGAGTTAAAACTGAAAACCTTGCGTGCGTGCGTATTTCAGACTCAAGTCCGATGAGCCTGCACGGCTGCAAGCACATATGGCAACGTTGTCCATGAAATCTGAAACCCAGGTTGAGCGTTGAAAACAATCATTAATTATAAGGATAAAGAAGTCGTCGCAATATCTAAGTGCAATGGGCGGATATAGTCAAGCAGTGCCGCGTAATGGTGCCAGGCTGATCGGATGCCTTGGGAATCGGCGATTCAGACTGAAGGGGCACCCAGACAGGTGACCAGCTGCCTTAATGAGCCCCCGGGGCCGCTCTCCGGCACGTACCCGTCTCGCCTCGCGAGCTTTGGTTGCCAGCAGACCCTCGCCGGCTGCACAAGCTCACCACGCAAAACAGGAGAAGAGCCCAACGGAGTGGCCTCGCCCCAACAATTCCCAGGGTCATCTTGCCTGCACACACAAAGGGGGACTCGAGGCACACAATGGACCATCATAAATAAGTTGATCATGCTTGCTTATGAAGACGTGCTCATGCAGTGATGATTCTCCCATCAGGAGGAGGTTCAAATGCCAAGAAAAGCCCGGTGAGAGTGGCTCTTTGCACTTTATTGTGAGTCATTCGCTGTTGGGGCTGTAAACATCAGCTTGCTCAGAAAACAAGTCGGACAAGACTCAGCAAACAAGTCCGACTCCGAATGAGTCACGCTTAAATGGGGACGTCAAACCACAGTTAGTGCATTTATGTCAGGGGAAAGTTAACCCCCCACCCTCAACCCCTCATCCCCGAACCTTCACTATTTCAAGCTGATCCGTTAAGCACGTCATTGACTATTTTCTGTGTAGTCACAGGTGTCAAACTCTGGTCCTGGAGGGTCACCATCCTGCATGCATCCCTCCCACGAGGACCTTAGTTGGACGTCTGTGGTACAGGTGCTTCAAATGTTGACAGCAGCACCGATGCATTAACCAGCAGTGAATGAACATCAACTCTATTCTACATAGTGCCCAATTAAAACACTGAGCTTTTTAGTTCTGCTTTGGAAGCGTAACATAATAAACTAACACATTCCACACAACATAAAGTCTAAGTCCATGACATGTCCGTATACATTTACGACAATGAAGTTTGGCCTTTTACTTACTTTTCCCACTGCTCCCGAGTAACAAAAGAAGTTTCTTCTCGAGACTTCTTCACTAGTATAAATTAAAATCAACACCTGGCATATCCCGTTAGAGCATCTGGTTGCATCAACAACAGGAACAATTTAAGATGAGAAATAAATGAATGCTACAAAACAACAACAACAACAACAAAACACATGAGCTTGTTTCCTCGGGGATGAAGCTGGCCCAGCAAACCCTGCCAGCCTCTGCACGCGGCTAAATGCGAACTTAATCAAGACATGAGCCATCTGTCTCCCGCACAATTCGCGCCCACTTTCATTAGCGCCTAAGAAGCTTAAAATGCATCATGAGGGTGACATGATGGTGTCATATGGGTGAACACTGAGAATGGGAGGAGGAGGTCCAAGGAATAGTAATGAGCCCAAAAGTAACGAACTTGTCCATTTTGTCCACTTCCATTAAAGAAAAAAACTACACAACACATTACATATTTACACTACACGCGTGCACCTTATTTCGATGGACCTTTTTCAATGTGTTGATGGTGTCTATTAAGCAGTGATTGCGGACATGTCGTATACTGTTTTGTTACGTCACTTGCGAAGCGAGTCTTTCATCGCTGGAAGTTGTACCACTCCAAATCACACCGCACCTGCAGTTTTATGATGCGCTTTAGTCACTTTGAAAATTGATTTTGACAGATTGTAACCGGGTTATTAAAGCCAAACTCCACTTACCTTTTTAAGAAGTTTATGTCACGCAGCTATGAGAATGCTTCGCAATGAGCCTTTCTTCATATTTTCTTTGAACAGATCCAGCCAGTGAAATGTGGTACCAAAAATAATGTCTCGCAAGCGTCTCGGTGCAACTTTTCGAGACGCAGTGATGAGCTGTGATCTCTATGGGAAGCACTGACCTACATTTACAACCAACATTCTCATATTTGTTCCATGAAAATGTCTGCTTTTATTCCCAATTGACTAATTGATTCATTTCGTGGCATTTCTCTTGGCTGTGTTGCTTCTAAAACAGATTACATTTGCTTGTCCAATCAGAATGCAGAGTAGTGTAATTTCATTTTTTTCCGGTACCCACTGAATCCGTCGCCCTCTTCGTCGTCTGCGTTGGTTTCAGGATGCCATCAGATGTCACTGTTGTTTCTGAAAAGGGAGAAGAATTGTTGGCAGAAACTAAAGCAAGCCCAGAAGATTTTTAAAGATCAAGTCAAGTCACTTCAGCTTTATTGTCAAATATGCTCTATATAAAACATACAGCACAGATTAAATTTCTTTCCTCTCAACCACAGTGCAAACATGCAGTGCATTAAAAACACACACAGCTAAAAATAAGGGAAGCAAAACTGAACTTTATAAGAAAATGATACAGTATAAAAAAAGACAAATATATATATATACCTGTATATACATAAACAAATAAAAACAATAAATAGCAATCAACAGTCAACAGCCTGTTTAAGTGCAATACTGTAAGCGCATGTCAGATGCTGAGGGTAGGGTCACAGTCTGTGGCGGGAGACAGGGAGAGAGTGGGGGGAGTGCGGGAAGAACAGGGAGGGAGTTGAGTCTCTTGACTGCCTGGTGGAATAAACTGTTCTTAAGTCTGCTGGTTCTAGCACAGAGACTCTGCAGTCTCCTCCCTGACGGCAGCAGGTCGAAGAGGTGATGCAGCTGGTCAAGATGCTCTCAAGAGTGCCTCTATAGAATATCTGCATGATGGAGGGCGGGGCTCTTGCTCTCCCCAGTTTGCAGAGGAAGTACAGGCGGTGGTGGGCTTTTTTGGCTAGTGACGTTGTATTGTGGCTCCAGGACACCCAGGAACTTGGTGCCACTCACCCTCTCCACTGCGGCACCGTTGATGGTCAGCAGAGCATGCTGGGTGTGTGTTCTCCTGAAGTCCACAACAATCTCCTTTGTCTTCTCCACATCCGGGTGGAGATTGTTGTCTTTGCACCACAAGACCAGCCTGCTCCCCACACTCCTGTAGATTGTCTCATCGTTGTTGTTGATGAGACCTACCACAGTTGTGTCGTCCGCAAACTTAATAAAGAGGTTGGAGCTGGATGAGGGAGTGCAGTCGTGGGTTAGCAGAGTCAAGAGGAGGGGCCTCAGCACACATCTTTGGGGGGCTCCCGTGTTCATCATAATGGTGCTGGAGGTGTTGCTGCCGACCCGAAGTGCCTGTGGTCCCCTGTCAGGAAGTCCAGCAGCCAATTACACAGGGAGGTGTTGAGGCCCAGGTGGTCCAGTTTGTGGTATTGTGGTATAAGGATTCTTCTTCTTCTTCTGTTCGTCACTACGTTACATTCTACCTGAAGAAATGACAAAAACAGTAGTGTGAATGTTTGGCTGCAGTTTATTTTAAATAAAAAAAGTCAAAATAAAGTAAAGAAGTGATACGGTGCTTTCTGAGGCGTGGAGCTACGTGGTAGGCAGGTGACCAAGCCACCCAGTGAGTGTGTGTGTGTGTGTGTGTGTGTGGGGGGGGGGGGCATCACGCGCACGCGCGTGCATATAAATTGTGAAGAATTAAGAGGTTTTGTGTCATTATGCTTTATAAATATAATTTGAATGATCCATTGATGGCAAGATGCAAAATGGCACTGTGACAATTGACCACTTCGCTTGGCTGTTAGCTAGCCAATCAGTGCATGAGATCACACTATCAAACAATCAAATCAATTGATGAGATAGTAAACAAAAGCAAAGTCGTGGCAAAGAAAATGGCATTATCTAGTAAATCATCAAAATCATCAATACATTGCTTTTTACTTTGACTTGCTCCTGCTTAATTATGATTGTGATGCGCATTGAAGAAAGCCTGACTGTGGATGCAATGATAAAGAAATGACGCACAGTCCATGGCCTCCCAGCAGCCATTCATCCATTCATCCATTTTCTCATCTGCGTATACTCACAGTGGTCGCAGGGCGTGCTGGAGCCAATGCCAGCTGTCTTGGGGCAGTAGGTAGGGCACACCCAGATGAACATTCACGCATCACACGAAGGGACAATTTAGAGTGTTCCATTAACCTGCTATGCATGTTTTTAGAATGTGAGAGCAAACCGGAGTACCCAGAGAAAACCCACGTGGGCACGGGGAGAACATCCAAACCCCAAACAGGAAGGGCGCAGCCAAAATCAAACCCTGCGCCTCTGCACTGTGAGGATGACGTGCTAACCAGGCGACCACCGTGCCTCCCTTCCCAGGAGCATGAATGAAAATTTCAGTATATGTGGAAGTGATATCAGTGTTCATTCTACAAATACCACAAAAACTACTGAAAAATTTCTGACACACGGAGGAAGTGAACTTGCTGACTCAAGCATTTCTTTGGGCACAATTTATCCATCCATCCATCCATTTTCTCATCTGCTTATCCTCAAAAGGGTCACGGGCGTGCTGGAGCCTATCCCAGATGTCTTTGGGCAGTAGTCAGGGGACACCCTGAACTGGTTGCCAGCCAATTGCAGGGTGCACATGGACGAACAACCATTCGCGCTCACACTCACACCTAGGGACAATTTACAGTGTTCCATTAACCTCTCATGCATGTTTTTGGAACATGGGAGGAAACCAGAGTAACCGGTGGAAACCCACCCAGGCCCGGGGAAAACATTCAAACTTCACACAGGAAGGCCAGAGCCGGAACCGAACCTGCATCTCTGCACTGTGAGACCAATGTCAAATGAATGAATGGAGGGGTGCCCAAGTCTATCTCTCGAGAGCCTAATCCAGCCTTTTTTTACGTTTCTCTCCTCCATCACACCTGATTCAAATGATCAGGATCATTGTCAGGCTTCTGCAAAGCTTGCTGATGATCTGATCATTTGAATCAGGTGTAAAACAGGCTGGATAGGGGCCCTCGACGCACCCTTGAATTAAGGTGATGTAAAACTAAATACAAAATGCATTCAGTGCACTCATCTGTCATGCTCTAAACATCATTGTGGAGTAGCAGAAATGACAAGCCTACGTGTATGTTCTTTGAACGTGACGACACATCAAAGTGTTTTGATCCCCACTGAAATGACTAACATCAAACTTCAAACATACATCAGAAAAATCTGATGCAATGACATGTCTTACGCAAAGGGCCAGTGACGTCATAGCGATCTTTCAATTTTGGGCTGACAGGTTGTAATTTATGATTCACTTGGGACACAAAGATGAAGTGATTATATTTACTTGTGAAAGGTCATCTTGTGTATGTGGATGAATGTCAACAGCCATAAACTGCAACCTGTGTAGTTACGACGGAAATACTGTATGAGTGCAAGTGTGTGGTGCTTATTTGATGGAGCCGGCGGGTTACAGGGTAGGCGGTTCGTTTGAACGTTTGTGGCCAATGTGGTTTGTCTGTAGTAGTTTCCACGTGATGGAGTGAGGGACCAACATTCACAAGTGTTGAAAGTTGATTTAAAAATAATATATTGTTCATTTGTGTACATACAGAGTGTAAATATGACTTCTGGATATTTTGATTTCCTCTGACTCAAGCATCCTATGCTACAATTTACAGCTTAATATAAATACATGATGTGGATATTGAATTGTTGCATGTGCTGGAGGGTTGCTGAAGTCAACAGAAATGGAGACAAAATAGAGCCTTGTACTTGTACTCCGCAATCTACACCAATCCAACTTGTCAGCAGATCCAGAGTTTTTATCCAATTGGTCCAGGGAGAAAACAGTCCCAGGCCATGAGGATGTCCTCACACAATTTGATGCATCTACTTCACAATCGTAATCACCATATCTTTATCGGCCAAGTACATTCAAAACACATAAGGAACATGTCTTAACTTTTATTGTACGGAGTCTTCATTTTTTTTTCTTTCTTTGCCATTTGAGTTTTTGCATTTATGGCAAATTAGAGAGGTTGCGATTTCTACTTTCACAGCAGCACTGTTTGCATGCCATTTCGCGCTCTCCTCATCTGCCACCCAACATATATGTGATCTGGTGTTCAACACTATATGCGCAGCATGGTGTGATTTGAATTGCAATGAGTTTAATAAATACATTCAACATGTTTTTTTCCCCCTCTCAAAAGAGACCAGCCACAATGAGTAGGACAACATCTGCATGACTGGTTGTTGAAAAACTTCCGTGACAGGATAAAGGTTTGAATGAAATCAAACTTCTTTGTTGAGCATCAATATGGCTCATTCACATCGAGCCCATTGCTACTTCCCCTTTAAAACTTCCTCTTTGAAGAAAAACAACAACCAAAAAAACTCAATAAACCTTCCCGCATTGTTTGCTGAAATACTACTGAATTAGCATTACATCATCAGCACATGAGGTCATTCAAACCTGCTACTGTAGACATGCTGGGAAGGAATTAGGTGGGAAGTATGTGGGCCACAGAATAGTCGAAATATTTTGGGAAAACACACCCTCCTGATGTCAGCATATTAATATGTCTGTCTTTTGATTTTTTTCCCCCCCTTTACACTAGCAATTAATCAGGAGCAGCATATTTGCATTCTTTTTATGACAATCAGCGTTGTCCTTCCTGAGCCGCTGTCTTATGGTGGTGGAGGGTGTCCCACTGATTCTGGGAGCTAGCTGTCCTCGGCTTTGTGACCCTCACGGGGTCACCTGGGAGGAACAGGTCCTTGTTGAGGGCCCCTATTACCAGTTAAATTAACAGACTTAGTTTTCCCTCAGCTGAACACGAGTCATCAGGGCCTCCAGGTGGGGCTCAATGGCATCTTTGGGCACAGTCCCAAAAATTAACTTGGTTCCCCCTTCCCATGGGCTCACTGCCTGTTGGAGGGGCCAAAAGTGTTGGCTGCATATAGTGAGCTGGGCGGCATCCAAAGAATGGGACATTCGAAGCTTTCTAAGCTTGCTGGTGAGATGTGCAATGTCTGAGCCTGAGCTGGTGTTCGACACTGACAAGTTCTCACGATATAGGGTTGAGCCTGGGCTCGGGCTCCAGTCCTCTTGAGAGGGGTTGGTCTCTCTTCCACTCGGGGGTATCACCCAATGAAAGGCACCAAGACTCGCGGCTTGGTGTCTGTACAGAGCATTAGGGTTAATGAGAGAGTAGCCTTCCTCCACTTTTGCATGGAGGGATGGACAGGTTCTGCCTGTTTTTTGGGGCTATGCACCAAACCACAGCTCGGAGTACTTTCCCTTATTTGAGTCCTGGAGACCTAATTACAATGCAATACATCCTGATTTATAATAATAATAATAATAATAATAATCATAATAATAATAATTGTTATTATTATGATTATTATTATTATTACTACTACTTCTTCCTTTCATAACTTTGCTGCTGTGAATTGGGAATTTCTCCATTGTGAGACTAATAAATGTTTTCTTCTTCGTCTTCTTATTATTATGATGATGATGATGATGATGATTATTATTATTATTATTATTATTATTATTACTGCGACTGGCTGGCAACCACTTCAGGATGTCCCCCGCCTACTGCCGTAAGACAGCTGGGATAGGCTCCAGCATGCCCCACGACCCTTGTGAGGATAAAGCGGATCATAAAATGCATGGATGGGTGGATGTCTCTCAGCTGGCCTGACAACGGTATGGGATGCCCGCGTAAAAGCTGGACAAAGTAGCTTGGGAGAGAGAGGTCTGGGCTTCCCTACGGGCAACTGGCCCCACAATCCGGCCCCCAGTAAGCAAAAGAAAATGGATGGATGGATGGATTGATGAGTGGAAAGACCGTTATTGTTCATTAAGTTAAGGAAGAAAAAAATAAATTGTACCGCCTACACATTGTAAAGCCATATTTTTATTGTGCAAACTTTTGCAATGGAACATTAGAGATCATACAAAACCAATAAATAGCCATAAATACAATAAATATATGATGAAGACATATAGTTAAAACACTTTCCTGACTTTCCATTGGAAATACAATCCACACTAATGATGAGGCTCAGTCCCAAATGACTGAAACTATTTTGATCAGTCTGATCAAGATGCATTTGTTCATCTCTACATGCACTTGTGGGCCCCACCCTGAGAGTGATGAGCAGGATGGCCAACTGCAAAGACTCGAGCTGTGAGAATGGAGAAGGAGAATAGTCGGTCCAGGATGTATTGGCACAGCAGGTCCTCTTTCCATGTGCCAATATAATGCTGTTGCACATCCTTCGAGATGTCCTGCAAAGAGACACTTGAATCCCTCATATGGTCTAAGTTGTCAAGTTAGAGAAGTAATTTTGGAGGCCACTGACCTCTTTCAGCTGGATGCATGTGCTCATGTTTTCATGCAGACCCTCCAACGCTGGCTGCACTTGAGAAATAGACTTGGAACAACTTTTGAGCTTTGCGACTTTGTATAGGGCCAATTTATAACTGCTCAGCACCTTGAAGATCTTTTCAACGCATGGCTGTGGAAGTTGCGACGAAAAACAAAACAAAAACATCATCATTACTTTCAATGCAATGCCAAGCATCTTCTGCACTACCACACTGATGTTGTGATGTAGTGTGCGTATTGTTGCTTACAGTGTGGTTGCGGCTCAAGGTCTCAGGATCACACTTATCTTTGGCCTGCATCCAGTCAAGTGAGGAGTTTGTGAAATTCAAGATATCCTTCGATCCATTCCGTGCCTGGAAAACATTATCCATGTATTGTCACTCCAGAGTTCACGAAGAACCCTGCCTGTGTGTGTATTTCATTCTCAATGGCGTGTGTGAATAACACATGTATTCATTCAAGTACAATTTGCCATTCACAGACTTATACCAGTAATTGTATTCAATTTGGCATTTTAAGTTTTTTTTTTTTTACAACACCACTTCAAGGTTACACCATGCTATTTGCAAAAATAGTCATTAAATGTTCTTTTCTTCTTTAATGAAGTGATTGAAAATGCGCTTCTATTTTATACTACTATTTACGAACCACGTACCTGCAATGACGCGCTTTTTGCGAGCTGGATTAGTTGCAAAGAGTTGCTCTTCACCTCCGCCCATGAGGCATCGTTCTTCACACCCGCAGGAGCGCACCAAACGACAGAAGCGGCCAACAACAAGAGGAGAGACGCTGAAGTCTCGCAAACAAACGTCATGGTCGATGTATCAGTATTTTTTTTAACGCCGATGTCTATCGAGCACTGCTCCTTGGAGTGTATTGAGTGATCAGCATTGCTGGGTCTATTTATATGAACGCGGAGGAGTCAGTATTGGGAAAATCCCTGTGCAATGGGCATCCCTCAGGTGATCGTAACTTCACCCGCTGTCTTTATTTCTTAACTTTAAGCCATGTTAAATGAAAATTAAGTAAAATTTACAAAACAGAACTAAAAAGACAACAATTCACTGCATCAACAGAAAAACGGTTTATCCACCTTGCACTCTTTGTCATGATTTTATTTGTTTTAACAAAAAAGGACAAAAACACTATTTCAACCATTTCTTTCTCTTATTTTGTCAAAATGTTTTTGAAACATTCTTCGGCAGTGTTTATATGTATATATATATATTGTAATATCTGTTTCTTGTATTGGTGTGACGTCATAGAAAGGGGAGGAGCCAGGTTGGGGGGAAAATTGGCTCCGTTAGTTTGAGTGTGGAGCGCATGGGCGTGAGTTGTGGCTAACAGCAACTCATATGAATGCGTGTGTTTATTGCTTATTTTGTTTATTAAAAACGACGAATTGTATCAGCGACTGCGTGCATCCTTCTCTCCGCTACTGAGGGGCATTACGATATATATATATTCTATATATACCTACCACACACACACACACACACACACACACACACACACACACACACACACGCACACACACACACACACTTGCTGCCTTGTTCATAAATATTTTTGACACCACTTCAGATACAATAAAAGGTATTTTCATACGTTTAAAAAGGCAAAATCTACTTTTTAGTAAATCTATAAAACACAGTAGAACTATACAAATGTGACTAATGTCATGAGAGGACATAAAACATGTTTCACGTCGAGTCCGTTCTAATGAGCTTCAGTTGGCGAAGTTTGGAAGCAAATTGTCGAGGGGCGTTTGGAACCGAGCTCGCGATGTGAACGTGAACGCACCACTACTCCGGATGCGTTTAGGGTCATTGAGCGTGTTTTTTGATTTTGCATGAGTGAGTGACCAGCTAGAAATATGGGCGGTAAATCCAACTTGGAGCTCAGGTCGGCAAGAACCTTTTTTATTTGTGTGTATGTGTGTTTTTAATCTGAATGGAACTAACTAACTGGCTGCGGAAGACAGTTTAGTTGTGTTTCTCAGTAGCCATAAGCTAACATGTAAATCGATGTAGCCTGTCGGTGAACCCCTCTGTACACGGAGGTGCAGTCATAACTGCTGTGCACTGGAAGGCTATTATGCGTCTCTTACTTGCGATTTAATGATTGGCTCATCCAATGTAAGAATTCGAAAACCTCGTTGAATGATGAATGTGTTAGCTAGCTAGCTAACTGTTAGCCAATGGGACAACAACACCAAGAGAGGTTCCATGGCTTGTCAAATCGACAAACGTTAATCACGTTTATCATCTTGGCTGTTGTGTGTCAGTGGCAGACCGTGTGCTTTCATTGCAGGTTGATTTAGTTGAACCCATGATGAACTATGAGGCCCTGGACACTGGGATGGGGGACTACTCTCCTAGCCTTCACGGGACTCTGGATGCAGGGATGGAGCCCGCCCTGGATCCCCACATCAACCCCGACCTTCTGCAGGGTGTTGACATTGATGCGGATGGTCTGGCCGTGACAGTACCCGAATCCGTGCATCTCATGGAGGGCATGTTTTCTGAGCTGCATAGTGTTGTCTCTGAAGTCGGTGTCCCAGTTACAGCCACACATTTTGACGTGCAGGAAGAGATGCTTTGGATGGGAAACCACAGAGTGAGCATGCCATGCGCAATTGTAATGGTGTTTCTTCTTTCGAATCCCCATCTCATGTCGTTTCCCCTTCACTTACAGGGTCACGCTACATCATTCTTTGGCTCTACGATGGGCCGCTACTCTTCTTTTCAAGTTCATGCAACCGATGACATTCGACACATTCAGAGTCTGGAGACAGGCGTGCTGTTCCTCTCAAAGTGTAGCCTCAAGTGCTGTACTCGTGGGGGCCTCGTCATGTTTGACTATCCGTATGGAGACCCTTCTTTTTCTGGAGTTTGATTACAGATTTGGTTATGCAATCACATATTGGTAACATTTCTGTCATTCTAGGATGGAGGAAGGCGCTGACATGCACAGTCTCCTCATGACTGACAACAATACGTTGCTAATGGGAGGACTACAAAACTATGTAGCTGAAGTTGACCTGAATACAGTTCAAGAAACTCAAAAGGTGAGATTCACATATAGCATGGTCTCATGTGACTGAACTCATGGTATTGTTGATGTGCTGAAAAGTTCACCGTGGAGGTCCCCGGTGTTGCAATCATGCGCCAAACCAGTCGCTTTTTCTTCTGCGGGCACACTTCAGGCAAGGTAAGTAGGAAATGAAATTATCTGATTTCCAATTTCCACTGCTCATATTGCCCTTAAATTCAAACCAGGTGACGCTCCGTGACCTGCGTTCGTTCAAGACGGAGCACGAGTTTGACGCCTTCTCAGGCAGCCTGTCGGACTTCGACGTGCACGGCAACCTCTTGGCCGCCTGCGGCTTCTCCAGCCGAGGACTGAACGGCTTGGCTTGCGACCGATTCCTTATGGTGTACGACCTCCGCATGATGCGAGCTGTCACGCCGCTTCAAGTACATGTGGACCCACTCTTCTTGCGCTTCATTCCTACGTACACATCACGCTTGGCCATTATCTCACAGACAGGTATAATTGTGGTTGCATGTTGACGACACTGATGACTTTGGCTACGATTCCATATCATCAAGACACCAAATATCCATAGTTGTTTATTTATTTCTTTTTTTACAGCCACATTTGTCATCATTTACATGCACAGCGGTGTGACGGCCACTGACACAAATACGCGCCTTTTCCAAAGTACAAATAATCCTTTTCCATTGTTAGGGAGCTATTCACACAAGACTCTTGTTAGTCTATTGTGACGTGGTGAGTAGCCTCATTAGCTTCAGCTCATGATAACGGCACGTAACGCTGACACGGTAGCGGTGACGAGCATCGCCATGACAGCCAGAGAAACTTGTATAGATTTTCCCTACAGTGGATGTATAAAAGGTTGACACAGCCACGAATCTCCCAAACACGTGATGTGGTCAGTCAAAAGTAAGGTTGAACATTTTGCCATAATTTCCAAAAAGTAATGTCTTTTCTGCACTATAAGACACTTCGGAGTAACTGTTTTTATGTATAGGGCACACCACATAATAAGGCGCATAGAATCGTAGCTACAATAGTGCCTGCGGTTGCGTTATGCATCCACTCGATGGACCGACGCTAAAGTAGTACAATGCAATACAGCTTTATTTATATCCAGCTGTCACAAAGCGCTTTCAAGAACATTTTAAATACTACGCCCAAGAAATCACTATTGATCCATATATAAGGCGCACTGTTGGCTTTTGAGATATTTGAATGCTTTAAGGTGCGCCTCATAGTGCAGAAAATACGGTATGTTTTAGCGCAAACACAACGCCATCACCAAAAGAAGACTAAACCTACAGTGAAGCATGGTTGTGGCAGCATTTTGTTTCGGTGGGAGAAGTTTTTCACGATCTGATGGAACTGGGGCTTTAGTCAAGGTGGAGGGAATTAGGAACACTTCCAAATAACATTCAGCTTCTGCTAGAAAACAAAGAGCGAAAGGGCAGGGAAAGCCTATTCAAGCAGTCAAACTTCATTTGGGGTTAATCAGAGGCACTTCAAATGGTGGCAGCTGCGTGCGCTGACTCACTTTTAGCATGAGTTTGAAGAGGATTGGTTCATTCTGCACACAGCCAAACTGTACAACGGTGTGCACACTTGTGCGACCACCTGATCTCAGTTGGTTGTTTCTACCCCCCACCACCTCGAAAGTATTTATTTAATGGAATTGTACAGGTTACAGGTCACAGTGATGGTGGAAGAAGTTTTGAACTGATTTATCTGGTTTTCGTTTCTAATGTCACAACCACTTGGCATTTGAAAAGGGGTGTGTAGACTTATTATATACACTGCACATGCCAACACCTTTGTGGTAAGCTTGTGGAGCAGCACGACCACTTTTCTGACGACAAGCGTTACTTGAACACTGTTCAACCATTACGCTTACATGTGCAGTTTGGCGCAAAATGTATGCCTAATCTTTTCCTTGCAGGTCAGTGCCAATTCTGTGAGCCCAGTGGGCTAGCCAACGTGGCGGACATTTTTCACGTGAACACCGTGGGCCAGCTGCTGATGAGTTTTGACGTGTCGTCTAGCAAGCAAGCTTTAGCCTTCGGAGACTCCGGGGGATGCGTGCACCTGTGGTCGGACGCTGCCGACGTGTCATTCAACGACTACTCTCGTGAGACGGAGTTTGCGCTGCCGTGCCTTGTGGACACGCTGCCTCAGCTGGATTGGAACCATGACCTGCTGCCTCTGTCGCTCATCCCCATGACGCTCACCAGCACAGAGCCACTCTTGTCCGACTGGCCCGCTGCGCTGGCCACACCCAGCCCCAGGTAACAGCTCTCAACAAAGTTGACTGAGTCATTCGGCTATTCCACCCCTAGGAATATTTCACAATGTGCCAAATTAGAATGAAATCCACAGCAAACGGCAACTTCTGTTTGAGGGAGTGCAGCTTTTTCTGCATTGGCTCGTGTAAAAAGATGAAGCTGCTTGCAGCCCTTGGGATGAGTCACACCCAGCCTGGGGAAGTTAAAGCTACTCACACTGATGGGCTTTTCTCTCCAGCCAGAATGGAGATGTACGACGTCGCGACTCACTGCAAAGAAATAGCAACAACTGTTACTGGGTGGAAGTCCAGTCAGTTCTCTTATCTGCTGTCACAGTCAAGCAGCTGTGAATGTTGTTTGGAGTTACGTCTCACACACACACACACACACACACACACACACACACACACACACAGAC